ACAAAGCCATTTGGGCTTTCCTTGTTTAGTCTAAAAAACTATGGAATTAGACTAGATGATCTCTCAGTGTCCTTTTATCAAGTCTATTATTTCAATGTGTTGATACTATTTCAAAAATAATGGTTTAATGTCAGCTAGTTGGTGGGGTTAACATGTTTATTCATTTGCTAAACAAAAATGTTGTTTGCATCTACTATGTCAGGAGTTACTAGGTCCTGGGAGGTAAGAGATGAAGGACATTGTCTCTACCTTCAAGTTCGAGCCGCCCTGCCTCACTCCAGGGCACCATTCATTGGTATTTTGTGCGAATACTGCCCCCTGGAGTTGTGCGACTCAACCTCATGGATCTGGATAAATGGCCAGTGTGACGGAACACACAGTAAATGATAGTGAGAAGATCAAAGTGGGAATTCAGCAAAGGGAGCAACTAGCTCTGCCTAAGTCAGAAATTTTTATGGAGAATTTAAATTTTTCTCATCTTCAAGAGCACATCCTTTTGTGTACTTGTGGAAGAAACGAGGTAAGAACGGGAAAACTCTTTTTAAGGTTAAGAGATTTCTTTCCAATTTTAAATAACAAAAGTGTCCTCAAAAACTTTGTCCAGGGGCTCACACAGTGGCAGTATTGCTTTTGACATAAGATGTTTATCCAAAAGCACCACTTTCAGAGTGATTCTGGCAAATTAGAGGGCATGGATTGTTCTACCAAGACTTTAGATTTCATTTGAGCCATTCCTGCAGGTATGGAAGAAAGAACTGTTGAACTAAAACCAACAAATATATTTTTTTAAAGCTGATAGAGGCATGGTTTGTAGGAGGGTGATAAGGGAGTCTCTTAGCTTCCCAGACTCACCAGGCAAGTAAATGGACTCTTTACCTGTCACTGCTTTTGCCTGCAGGTGGGTATTATTATGCCACTGAAGCCAGGAGAGATAAGGAAGCTATACTATAGTGAGTGAAGACAAATGCATCACTATGGGGACACTAAGGAGCCCTGGTGGTGCAACGGTTAAAAGTACTCATCTGCTAATCGAAAGACTGGCAGTTCAAACCCACCTAGCTGCTTTACAGGAGAAAGACCTGGCAATTTGCTCCTGTAAAGATTACAGCCTAGAAACGCCCATGGGGGCAGTTCTACTCTGTCATGTGGGGTCACTATGAGTCAGAAGTTGACTCGACATCACCTAACAACAACAACAAATGGGGACACTGGGGAGATAATTTGCTGAAAAGTACAGTGGAGTCTAGGCCGTAGTAAAGGGCTTCATGATAAGGATTATTATGTGTGTTTTATGGTGGAAGCTTTCTCCGATTCCTAGGGGGCTCTGTGTGGCTGAGCTACTTTCTGATTAAACAGTACCTCCTGTCACGAGTGGTTGCTAATCCCCACTCATTCTTAGTTGGTAGGCATAACCCCTAGCCTTGGCTTGTAAAGCCAACAAGCCCATCTTAGACTGGTTTCCTTCCTTTGCTGGGAATGGTAAATACCGTGGAAACGTACATTCGCTCCAGTCTGAGACGGTCAGATAGCTATAGCCCAAGGCCAGATGAAAGGGATCCAAATAATGCTTGACTACCGAAGGAGACCTTACTTCCATCCCCGCAATGAGGGAGAGTCTGCGGCTCCTTGCTCCGTTTTCCTAGGGCCTGCCAAATATTTCTGCAGAGTACTTAACTTCTTCCATCCCTTCACTTGAATGTGTTGCTAACGAAGGAAACCAGCCATTCAGTCGCTCCTTGCCCCACAATTGGTGGCTCATCTTCAATTTGTCTCACTCCTTTTGTCTGCGGCCTGAACTCTGAACCTGTGCAATCACTCACCGTGAGGAGAGACGCACACAGACTCTCTCCGGCCCCTTCCTCCAGCGGCAGCCAGGGAGCCTTTACAACAAAGATACCCAGTGCTTAGGGCTTCTAAGGCCTGCGAGGAGAACTGCACATTCTAGGTGCACAAAACCCATGGCTTAGCAGGAAACAGAAGCTGAATCACTCCACCAACCACATGCACTTTCATTTTCTCTCCAAACTGGCACTTGCCCATAGCACACATTTGCACCTGGAAAGATAACACAGCCCAGCTTGGTGCTCATCCTGTCTATTTTCTGCAGAATGGCCAGGTGCAAGAGGCTCATCATGCTGTGGGTCTTAGCTTGTTGAGAAACTTGTCATGTAACATCGACAAGTGCCAGCTTGTTATTTCTCTAGCTGCTTGCCCTCAAACGTTGAGTTGAACCATATGAAAGTGCTGTTTTTGTGGGTCAAGAAAGAGCATATATTGGCAATTTCATAGCGTTCATCTTAATAAAAAGGAACAACAAAAACTACAATTTATGAAGCGCCTTTTAGGTTCAGGTCCTATGTGGAGACTTTAACCATCCTATTTTAATTTCTATTCATGACATCATATCAAGGTGCTAGTATTATAGCCATTTTACAGACGAGGCAATGGGGATTCCGAGCGGGTACGTCAACTGTCCATAGAGCTAGTAAGGCCAGCAAAGATAAGAACCCTGGCTTGTTTGACTCTAAGGCCTGGGTCCTTTTCACTCTGCCATGTATAGATTTCGCTTTAAAGAACCACTGTCTTTGTAGCTCACTCTCCAGTTCCTAGGTCATATCTTAGATTGTCTCTCCTGTATGGGGACCACTTGCCCATGCCATATTCTCTTCCTGAAATCATTTGCCCAATCTGTAGAATCATCTGCAGAAGTGCTACCCACTCTTTGAGGCTCACTTGGAATGCTTCCTGGTCCATGAAGTTTTCCCAGGTCCTCCAAAAGATGTAATGTCTTCTTCCTTCAAACCTCACAGCCCTGGGAATGCCCACTTTAGTACTTACCTCTTCTAGTACTACTAGTTAATGGACTATTGGGCACCTGCCCGTCCTCCCCCTAGAGCAGGGAATGGGCAAATTTATTCTGTAAAGGATCAGATAATAAGTATTTTAGGCTTTGCAAGCCATACAGTATCTGCCACAACTACTCAACTCTGCCATCATAGTGCAAAATCTCCTAATTACATGCACGAACATGGCTGTGTTTCAATAAAACTTTATTTACAAAAACTGGTGGTGAGTGGGATTTGGACTGTGGGCTCCAGTTTGCTGACCCCTGTCCTAACTTATCAATTCCTAAATGTTAGCCATTGTGTCTTTCTCATGCCTCCACTCCTATTGTACTATGTAGTGTCACAGACGGCACTCATAAATATTTGTGGAACTAAATTATCAGTTGCTAGCATCAGAGATGCTTTTTGTTAGCTTTCGCTGAGGTCCTGTGAACTCTGTAGACCCTTATTCCCAGCTGACTGTTGTCTGCACATGCCACTGTGCTGTCAGAACCTCTTGACCTGTGGCCGACTTCCCCGTAGGCTCAGGACTCTTTGCCTTGAAGCTTCAAAGGAGGCAGACTTCTAAGGAACCATAAAATAGCATATTTTGTCAACCCCTTCTCCTCCAATGCGGGAAACACCTGTAAGGTTGACAGTTGTAGAAAGTCACCTTAGGCTGGGATTCTGCTAATGCAACAGAAGAAGCTACTCAAAGCAATTTCTGATTCCAAAGAAAAGGGAAAGGTGGGTTGCAGGGTACTGCAGAAGTCTGCGAAGACCATTTCCTTCTTTTAATCAGTCAGTTAATACATTTGATCTGTAATTGAGAGCCACTCGAGGTCTTCATTCGTGAATTTAGTATGATGCTATGTAGGGTAAGAGTCTTCAGACCCTTGCGTGTCCTCCTACGAGGTTGATTCCAAATCCCAACGGCTCAACTACACGACATTCCCCAGGTGCTAGAGCAACCCTCTTTCTTTTTGACAATATATGATGTATTTTATGTTTACCTCCATCCTCCAACTTCCTGGGCACACTCAGTCACTTATTCAGCCCGGCTTCTTATTCATTGTTACTTCCTGTCCTGGGTGAGCTCTGACTGTCTTCATTCTAACCTAACATAGACCACTTGATAAGATAGAGATGTTCTAAATACCACTGACCAGGAGTCAATCAATTTGTTATAAAAAGATACAAAATAATAATACAAAGAAAAATTCCCCAGGGATATATAAAGACCAGCAACTAGCTTGCCTTTGGTAGTTACCATCCATTTTCGTAAGGTTCTTTCTAGTCTGGGATCTTGATTAGAAAGTCGGCATGGACGAAAGTGGGTTGTATTTAAGCACAAAGAGATTAATAACCAATTTCTGGAAGTTTAATGACGGAAGCGACAGATGATTGATCAGTCCTCTGTCCCTGCCTGTCCAGTGGCCAACCTTTCAGCAGACACCGAGCCAAACAGTCTGCATAGAAGACTGTATATTTGGAAGAAAATTTTTCGACAGAGTACGGAACAAAGTCATGCCCTTTGCTGTCAAAGCATCCAGACTTTTCACCCTTGGCTTGTGAGAATTACTGGCATACTATGATTCTGCTTGCTGTTTCACCCCCCTCCTACACTGACAGCCTTTCCCCTGGGCCTCCCCACCTTAACTCTCCAAGGCGCCTGCCTTTAAAAAAGGAACACTGGATTATTTTAAAGCCGTGACCTGAGAGGTCTCTTGGGCAAGCCCACTCAAGCTGCTTGCACATCTGCACTAAAGCTGCTGCAATATATGCCTTTAAAATAGACCCATGTTTCTTTAACCAGACAGGGCGTCTCAACCCTACTGCTGTGAAAAGCAGATCATTAGATCATTATTATTAAATAATACGCATTAATATTACCTAAGCCAGCTGAAGAAAACTAATGATAAAAATTGTCCCGCTCACTCTCTCTACTTCTCTTCCTTTCTACTCAGCTACTTAGAAATGTTGGAAGTGTGATTCATAGTCAAACCACCAGACAAGTCCCTTTATTTCTGTCCTAGTAGCTCTGCCTGTTCCAAAATCCAGCCTTCCTGCCTTGTGGATAGGCGGTGTGGAAGGAAGAGAGGGTGGGGGTGAGGAGAGCGGTAGGAGGCAAAGGAAAGGCCCATGGTCAGCAGGTTGGGGGTTGATGTTACTCACATGTGTTGGGAAGCATTGGGGTATAGTTCTGAAAACTGTGGGGCCGAGTCCTCGGGGCCGTGGGGTGCAGCGTGGCTGATCACCATCATAACGGGCCTATGGGGATACATTCTCTTAGACATTTTGAAGTAATTAATGCTCTCGTTAGTGATTAAGTCTGTGAAGTAGTCCTGAAACATACATTTGACACAAAACAAAAATTACAAAAGGTGACATTCATCAGATCACATTTGAATCCTGCTTTCCTGAGACGCTACTCACTGAATGAGGAGTTAAGGTCCAAAGGTGGGAAGAAACCCTTAACCTCCCACAGCAGTAAAAGATCTTCAACTGAGAACGTCAAGCCAGCTACCTTCTCGGGTTGCTAGCTTGTTAACATGTAGAAAATTTACTTTAAGTAATGCACAACTTAGCCATTAGAAAAGAAAAAAGGCAAGTCATGTTTGCCCAAGATAATGATCAGCTATGGCAATGCAAATGCTGGAGCATAAGAAACACCGGATGCATATTTCATTCTCAAGTTTCATTGATATAATTCGTTGACAAAAAAGTTAATTATGTACTTCAAGGGCAGTAAACATCCACACCCACTACAAGTTCACAGCGGCTGAACACACACACGCACGCACGCACGCACGCACGCACGCACAAACGAAAGAAAAGATCTTTTTTTCCAATTAAAAATTCCCCTGTGGGAAGTACATAGTAATCACTAATCAATGCCACTGCCAAAATCCGGGTGCACAGGGAAAAGCTGCGATATTTTATCAATTAATTTACTTTGAAACACTGAAGTATGGGGAGAAGTTGATTTCTTGCAGATTGTACTCTGTTAATTGCAGAACTAAAGAGATACAGCTGCTGGGATTCAAGCCTGATTTGTTAATAAAATGACTTAATCTGCAAGGCGGGGGCGGGACTGATGGAAGTCTGTAAGGGAGAGGGAGGAAAGGAAAAGTGAAAACTTAAACTACCAGTTCCTCTAAGTGGCTCTCAACGGCCTGGAGCTCCAGTAGAAACTTCATTCGGCAAGTGCCTTGGCAGTGCTCACAATTTCAGGGCTTCTAAACCCGTTCCCGTGGAGTTGATTCCAACTCATAGCGACCCTATAGGGCAGAGTAGAACTGCCCCAGAGGGTTTCCAAGAAGCAGCTGGTGAAGTCGAACTGCCGACCTTTTGGTGAGCAGCTGAGCTCTTAAGCCACTGTGCCACCAGGGCTCCTTAAGGGCTTCCAGGCATGACTAATCACATGTGGATTCAAGGACCCGAAAAACAGTGCTGGAGGGACGGAATCTGTGTCACATGTCATTGTTAGGACGAGCCTACAGGCTATCACCTTTTCCCATGAGGGTGTCTGTTTCATTCTTTTCCTCACTAAAAAAAGATATACATGCTTTTTGGACACAATAGTCTTTGACACTTAATCAGCTGTGATAATGGGTATTTGGAGGGAATTATGATTATCTTGCCCTCCTCAGGACAATAGGGAAAGAAAGGTTAATAACTTGAACAAGCAGCATGAAAAGCATCCTCATGGATTAAAAAAACACAGCAGTGACAATTAATGTATGCTGTACGAATCGTTTGCATGCAATGATTGTATCAACTGGCGATATGGCCTTAGAAGAATGATTAGCTGAACCACTCTAGGCTTTGTTTCCCCATCTTTTAAAATGAGGACATGGCTCAAGTTGGCTTCCAAGGCCCCCACCAGCTCTCAACTCTGATGAGTCTAGAAGCCTATTAACAACGTCTGTGAATTCATTTGCATTCATTGTTTTCTGAGGGCTTATGGAAGGTCGGAACTTACAAAATCTATTGTGCCCAAATCAGGGCAAGCAGAGAGACAGCAATGTCCCCAAATTAAACCAAGTTGGCGCTCTGCATTTTCTACCCACTGCTTTTTGCTACAGTCCTAGGCTTTCTGGAGGGGGCACTAGATAGAACAGTTTCTCGACTTCTCTCAGGTAATTAAGGAAGAGATGGGTATGGCTAGAAGAAAAGAGGATAGTTTAGGCTTAATCAGCAGGCTAGACTCAAAGATACTCTCCCCATTACTCTTACAATCTAAAAACTAGGTTTTGATTTAAGTTGGCAATCACAAAACCTTTGTGAATTTCTAGGTCCAATTTAGGATTCAGTTGTCAGAGTTCAAGTACCCTTAAAGAACACCCGGACATGTTGATTTGCGTTTCTGTGAAATGATTTGGAGACCCTAGGATTGCTAGCCCAGAGGCATCTGTGGACTCTCTGCCATGGCGCAGGTGTCTCTGTCACACACACTAAACTTGGTCAGACAGGAGTGAAAACAAGAAATGCGGTTTTCCAGCCTCTGACTATTGCACTTGTCTGGTTTTATTCTTACATCTAAATCTGAAGCCACGGATTAAAATATACTTTCACCTTCAATGAAAAGCGAAACAGGACAAGATGAACATTTCATTATGTGGACAAGTCCTCCTGAGGGGGAACCTCCCCGCATCAAATTATAACAAGAGAGATGATGGGAGGCATCCATGATTTTTTCTGGATGATACTTTCATCAGAGGATGATTGCCTTTCATCTTAATGAGTAAAAAAAATCGCTATACAAAGGCAGTGTTCCTTGAGAGTCTTTTCCTTGCCTGGAGTTTAAAATGATCTTAAAATTTCTCATTCTAACATTGTGAGGACACGCAAAGCCAATCTTGAGGATATGTTAGCTCACTGAAACGGCTTTTCCCCATCATGCACAAAGAAAATTGATACAGTGTAAAAGTGCCGAAAATTACCTTTGCATAATCAAATCCATGCTTTTCTTTGATGCCATTGCGACAAACAGTGTAATTATAGAAACGAGAATTCTTGATTAATCCAAGCCACTCTCGCCACCCAGGAGGGATATAGCTGCCATTATATTCATTGAGGTATTTTCCAAAAAAGGCTGCAATGGGGAAAAAAAGAGGATGATTTCCTCACATGAAATAATTAATCATAAATAAATGTATAAATACATAAATATGAGATTGTGACTTGAAAGAGACAGTAAAACCAAAGTTGACCTAGAATCACGCTAGTGTAATATTCTGATTCTTTGGCAAAATGACAGACACACATTTTCCTTTTGAATAAATGAAAGTAGTACCCAAGTACATGGATTATGGTTCAATAAAATCACCATAATGATCACAGTACCGTTTCTTGTGGTTCTACTGAAATAAAGCAAAACATACCCTTTTGTTAGGCTGATGTAGCAATCAGAGATTTCAGCCAGTGTGAGATTTGGAATGCTATTACTAGGCAAGCAGAGGAGAACTGAAAGCTTAGTCTTTGTTATAAAAGAAGTTTTCTAACTTACTGTTTGAGAGTTGGGAATTATAAAAACACCATAGAAAAGCTTGTCTTTGGTTTTGCGGTATCCAGAGAGCGTAAATTTTCCAAACCAAGGCATGACGGTAAACTCCGTTTTTTATGGGACATGGTCAGGGTTTTTATGTCACAAGTATTTTGTGGCTTGGGCGTTTATGTCATATGTGCTTTATGCCAAATGTACATCCGTTGTTGATGATCAAAAATTCTGGCAATATAGAGTTACTGTATAGATTACTGGGAGTCCCTGGAAGGCGCAAACGGTTAATGTGCTTGGCTGCTAACTGAAAGGTTGGAGATTCAGTTCTGCCCAGAGGTGCTTCAGAAGAAAGGCCTGGTGATTTAGTTCTGCAAAATCAGCACTGAAAAGCCTGTGGAGTATAGTTCTACTCTGACACAC